CTGGAGAATAAATCCTGTGAGGAGCCGGGGAAGGGGCTGGGGGTGCTCAGGGTGAGGAGGAGGAGGCTGAGGGGAGCCCTCATCCCTCTCTGCAGCTCCTGACAGGACATTGCAGAGAGGCCGGGGCTGGGCTCTGCTCCCAGGGGATCAGGGACAGGACAAGAGGGAACGGCTGGAAACTGCCACAGGGGAGGGTCAGGCTGGGCAGGAGGAGAAAATGTTTCCCAGCAAGAGTGGTCCGAGAGTGGAACAGGCTGCCCGGGGAGGGGGGAGTCCCCATCCCTGGGGGGGTTTCAGGGCCGTTGGGATGAGCTGGGGGGGATGTGGGGTAGGGGAGAGCTTTGTAGAGTCGGGCTGAGGGTTGGAGTCGCTGATCCCGAGGGGCTTTTCCAACCCGAATGGCTCGGGGATTCTGTGAGTCAATGTTGTAACTGCACCCTCTAGCCCTTTTTTTGTTTTGTTTTTTTTAATCATCTTCCAGTTGCTGCAGTTTCTCTTTTACATGTTTTGTGGCTTGACATAGCATTTATCAAGTTTTTGTAAGGTAACGGGAGTCTGTCCTCAATACTCCTGTGCAGTTCACATATATAACATTATATTCCCCTGCCCGTGTGGCCTCTCCAGCAACCCTCGGCATGTTGCTGTCTGCCAGACTAGGGTGGAGATAGTGACTGTAATCAGTCTTTAATAAAATTATTTTGATTTTTGACATCTTAACCTCACAGGGATCCTATCCAGGTATGTGGGTTGTGGTTCAGCCCCAGCTGCTGGTGCTGAGCTCCTCACTCGCATCCCTCACACCGGTTCCCCCCCCGGTAGCTGGTTTGGGGGACACGCTCCCTCCCAGGCTGGCAGTCAGGACCTGGAGCCACTCTGAGACCCCAGTGACTCCAGGAGCTGAGGCCACACCCCGGGGTGCCTGCACCCCCCATCCCATTGCGGTAGCTGCCACCAAACCCACTGGCACTGGTCCCCGCAGTAGAGGACACTTCGTCCCCACAGCCCTCACACCACAGGGCACAGAGTGAGACCACGCAAACAGGGGGTTAAGAAAGGATTTAATGAGAAGGTAGGACGTACTCTGGTGGTCAGGTGCAGGGCTGGGTCAGACAAGCACACTGACCAGCTCCATTTTACACCACTTTCTGCCTATTCCTTTGTTCCTCCCCAGTCCCCTACCCCTCCATGTTTCCTCATCACCTCTCCCAGTCCCACCAACCCCTGTGAGCATCCTGGACACACAGGCTGCTTTTGTCCAGCCCAGGGAACAGACATGGACATGATGAATACGTGTGGGCAGTGGGGAGCTCCTAAAGGATGTCTCTCCTTCCAGGAGCAAATACAGTCGCAGCTGGAGAGCCTCAGGAGAGAGAAAGGAGAACTGGAGAAACAGGAAAGGAAGGAGTGTCGGATCTGCCAGGACTATGTGGTAGGTGGATGGTGCTGCTGGGAGAGAAGCTTGCTTGGTGGGGCTGAAGAAAGGTCGATTCTTGGCTGGAGCTGGGAGATCGAGTCACTGTGCTGTTGGGGCACGGTAATCACCCCAGGAGTCACAGCCATGCTCTGCACCAACAAGTAAAAGCTGTGGATGCTTTGAATTGCTGCCTGTCCCTTTCCATGGTCCTGCCCTTCCTTGAGAGGATTGTTTCTGCTCGTAAAGGAAAAAGTGAAGGCGCTGAGGCAGAAGATTGTGCCTGAGTTTAAGCAGCTGCGACAGTACATGGAGGAACAAGAGTGCCAGATGCTGGCTCGGTTGGGAGAGCTGGAGAAGCAGATTGAAACAAGATTGAAAGAAAATGCTGCTAACTTCTCCAAGAAGATTGTTTATCTGGAAGGCCTGATCAAGGAGAAGGAGCGTCAGCTGCCAGGACATGAGTGCCTGCAGGTGAGGTCCGCTGAAACACCAGCGCTGTCTTGGCAAACAGCACGTGAGGCGTCAGTAAATCACAGACACGTGACGGGCTAATTTTACCTTGATTAACTTGTTTATTAATCTTAGCTTGCCGGTGTGTCTGTTCACTGTGAAAGGAGAATGTGAGGAATGTGTGTGCAGGATAAGTAGCACTGAGCTGCTTCTCTCTTTTTCCCATCTAGGACACTGGTGATGATTTGAGCAGGTATGTGCTGCTTTCTCCCTGCTTCACACTGCTGCTTTGGGCTGGCAAAGATTCCTGCCCCAGAACAGAGCTGAGTACCTCAGATGCCAGGGCTATCCCACTGATGCTCCGGTTTTCCAGAGGCTGATGAATCAGTACGACTCTAACCAGAAAGTGTTTCCCTGGGGAAATATTCAAGGAGAACATTTAATTTCTAAGGTCGCTGGTTGCAGGTCTGGCTGACGCCAAGGCACAGGGACCAGGGCACGGTGCCCTTGGCTCAGGGCTTCTGCACTTGCTTGTGGTGCAGGGTTACTCTGAAGGGACAGGGTGACTGGAGGCACCAGGACCGTCATTATAATAGAAATTTAATTGACTCTTAGAGTATCAGGACAGAGTACTGACCTAGCCAATGAGACCTGTTGTCTCTCTTGTCATTGATGCTGTTGTGTTTTAAAAAACAAAAAAATAAACCCCCAAACATTCTGGAAAGTACTGATACAGCTGGAAAGTGGCTTCTAGCAACTGGCACTAATGGGAGACTGAGTTAAAGGAGGAAGAGAAATGCTGTGGCTTGTACAACTCCAGGTGTGAGAGGGCAAAACTCCAGCAAAAGGAGTGGATGAGCCACGAGCTGAAGGAGGAGCCCGGTATCTGCTCAGAAAAAGCTCCTGCACCAGAGGAGATGGCACGAAAACTCCAAGGTACAAAGAAGGGATCTCGGAGAACAGAGAAGCGTCCCGGGGGTGGTTAATGCCTCATGGAAGGGAGATCAAGCTGAATGTCCTTGTGCAGTGTGTCCTGCCCTGGGGAAGCTTTGGAGAGATGTCACAGCTAGAGTGTTCTCTTTCCTTTTTTTTCTTTTCCTAACCCCCCCTTTCCTTTCTCTTGATCTCTCTTTGCTTTTATTTTCTCCCGTAGAACAGTCAACATTAGTGCTGATTCACATCATCAGCTCTGAAGCCTACTAATAAATTGCTGTGCGTGTGAACCTCTTTCAACACCCAACACCTGGCTTGGATGCTGCCGCAGCTTTTTCTGTTCTAGTTGTGCTCCAGACCTGCTCCATGGTTAAAAGTGGGTCGGGGATGTGAACAAGTCCCAGATGTCCCAAGATGCCCGAATGATTCTCAGTTGGTGCTCTCCTCATGAGGAGGTTCATCCCCAAAAAACAACTGAGATGCTTCAGGCAGAACCTGGCATTGTGCAGAGTAATTTAGGCTGGAAAAGGCCTCTGGAGGCCATCTAGTCCAAACCTCTGCTCAAAGCAGGTACAACGAGGTGGGAGTGCTCTGTGTTTTCTCCAGCTGAGTTCTCAGTATCTCTGGAGGTGAAGATCCCACAACTCCTCAAACCATCTTGGTGACCCTCTAGATGTGCTGCAGTGTGTCAATGTCCATTTCGTGCTAGGTGGGCCCAAATTCTTTTTCACTCCTGCTGCTCTAGGTTTCTTCCTTTCTGCTTCAACTGGAGAAGCTGGCAGGTGCAGCAAGCTTGTGCCCTGGGGAAGGAAGGGGCAGTATCTCTGCCCACCATCTCCCTGGCGCTGGTCTCCACAAAGCACCTCCCAGGGATGGTGGTGTTAGCCAGATGTCAGAGGTGACCTCTGGGCTCCATCTCTTTCAGATGCTGTGACAGCTGCCACTGGGGAGGGAGTGGAGGTATCACGGGGACCGTACACAAAAGGTGAGTTCTGCTGGGGAGCCTCCTCCAGCGAACCCTGGTTGCAAGGGACGCAACACATGTTTTGGGGGGACAGCAAGTCTTCACACGCGCAGGGCACAGAGCTGCTCCCCAGTTTGAGCTGGGCATCCCCTGACAGAAAAGTATTGTCAGGTTTCCTCCCAAGCCAGGACCAAAAATGGACTCAGCATGGTAAAACTCTTCTCAGGACTGATCTTTGGCTCTTGCAGTGAACGTGACGCTGGACCCAGGTACAGCTCAGTCCCGGCTCATCTTGTCAGAAGATCAGAGCAGTGTGATGCAGGGAGCCACTCCGCAGAGCCGGCCTGACAACCCAGAGCGATTTGACCCGTGGCCTTGTGTGCTGGGCTGTGAGGTGTTCGACTCAGGGCGATTGTGCTGGGAGGTGGAGGTGGTCTGCGGGTCGTGCTGGGCTGTGGGGCTGGCCCTGGCATCTGTCAGTAGGAAGGGACCGATTGTCATGAGCCCGCTGGGGGGGATCTGGGCGGTGGGGCAATATAAGGAGAAGTTCCAGGCTCTCACTTCCCCAGCTCCCACCCCTGTCCTTCCCAGCGTGGTCCCCCGGAGGGTGCAGATCTGTCTGGACCACGCTGAGGGCCGGGTGACGTTTGTCAATACAGACAGCAAGGCTGTGATTTTCACTTTCCCACGAGCCACGTTTGCAGGGGAGAAAATCCACCCCTGGTTCTGGGTGGGTAAAGGGTCTCAGCTCAAACTGTCCTGAGACCTGAAGTGTGTCCCTCTGGGGAGGTTCTGCTGTGGCCACCCTGCCCTCCTGCATCCCCATCTGCTAGTCCTTGAGGACTTCCGTCCGCTTACAGATCTTCTGCCGTCTCAATCTGCAACCTTCCTTCTGTGAGCCCCAAAGGCTGTTGAACTCCTGTCTGCCTACGCAGCATCGCCTCGCTGGGAGCGGAGACCCACGGACTCCCCCAGTCTTGTTCCTGCCACAGTGGCTTAGGGCAGGGCTCTGGGTGAAGAAGAGGCATTTCTGGGGACGTACTTTATTTACAGGAGCCGTGAGGGGGATTAAGGGGCACAGCAGTGGCACAGGAGGGCCTAGTGATAGTATATTTTTACCTGAGGAATTAAGGAGGATGAAACTTTCCTCAGCCACCCACCAGACCATGGGGTGATGCTCTGCAGCCCTGAGGCCTGGGCAACCTCCGTATATTAGTCCCTGTTGCTGGCCTGATTTGATTCTTGTGTTAGCCCAAGAAGACACAAGAAAACATTCATCTTTTGGGGAGGTGCTAGTAAGATTTATATCTGCACATAATTTTGTGGGTGGAATCACAAATTAGTGTACCCAATAATTCTTCAGTGTTTGTCTATTCAGTTTGTTTCTCTGCTTGTGATGAGGCTCTTGGAAAGAAAATGTAGAGGTTTGCGTATTCTCCAGCCAAAGAACTAGTATCAGGAATTTGCTGCAGTTTAGGAACAGGCTGTGGGAATTGCTGGTTTGAGACTTGCTGATTTGTAGAACTGCCAGGATTTGTGGCATTGCATGGTAGAAGTAAAAATTATAAATAACCAAAGTTCAAATGCTGGTCAAATAAATGTGAAACTAAATCCCATCCCACGGGACCTTGCTGATGGATAAGAAGGGCTTTAACATGTTGGCTCCATCTACTTCTGTTGAAAAAAGCTGACCTGTGTGTGGCTGGGGGCTGGAGTGGAAGGGGCGCCATTCAAAGGACAGTGAAGAGAAGCCACGCTACAAGCATCAGCTCTGCCCAGGATGTTGAGAACAACCTCTGAAAGAGTGGTGTGTGGGGAAAAGCACCAGTGGAAGTCACAGCTTGCTCGGGGGTGAAGCCCCCCCCTTCTCCTTGCCCTGTGGGCAGAAGCCCGTGGTGACCTGCCGGGTCTGGCTGTGGTGCTGCTGCAGTGTTTGATCCCAGCCCTTCCCCGACATGTACCCAGGTGCCTTCGTGCTTCAGCTGTGGGATCTCGCCTTCCTCCCAGCGTGCTCGTGGACACGCAGAGCCACGGCCCCAGCAGGAGCAAGCTCTCCCTCCTCCTGTGTGGGCACAGCATCAGCTTTGGTACCGGGAGCTGAGGCTGGGCTGGCACCAAGGTGTGGGCAGCCAGTTGGGGACTTCATCCATTCCTACTCGGACTTGCCCCTCTCCTGCGCTCTGCCAAGAGCATGAGCTCTCCCTGCTTTTGGGACTGGCTCCTTGGATGGTCCCCTGGGTTGCTCTGCTGGATTGCTGGAGCCCTGGATGTGCAGAGCCCAGGGGATGGCACCCGTCCCCTTACAGGGCCAGAGAGGTTGGTGAGCCCATCCCCTAGTGCCGGGACAAGGTGCCTGTGCTGGATCAGTGCTGCGGCTCCTTCCAGCTACTGCAGCAGACCGGAGAGACCAGCGCTGTCGCCTGTGCCCAGCTGCCACCACAGAGGTGACAACTGAGTCGGCACTAAGGGTCCAACCAGCAAAGTGGCTGGAGAAGAAGAAATCTAGGCTGGACCCAGGTAATGTTCCCCTTCACCTACATTCACCTTTTCTTCTCCGAAGAGCAGGAGTGAGCAGGGGATGCAGAGGAAGGTCCCTGGGAGTGGGGACCTTCCCACCTTCTCCCGATATAACACGTCCTTTGAATGTCATTGCCCCAAAATTCCAGTTCCCTGGAGCAGATCTGCAGCTGGAAGGCATGTCCTCTGGCTGAGCACTCTGGGTCGTCTTGTTTTGGGAAAAGGAGACAGAAGTGACCTCCTCACTCTCTGCAGCTTCCTGAGGAGCAAATGTGGAGAGGGAGGTGCTGAGCTCTTCTCCCTGGGATTCAGGGGCAGGACCCCTGGGAATGTTCAAAGCTGCACCAGGGGAGGTTCAGACGACATCAGGAAGCATTTCTTTACCAAGAGAGTGGTCAACAGTGGATCAAGAGGTGATGGGTGCCCCAGGGCTGTCAGGACGACGCCTTTAATAAAAGGCTTTAACTTTTGGTCAGCCCTGAAGTGGTCAGGCAGCTGGACAGATTGCTGTAGGTCCCTTCCACCTGAACTGGTCTGGTGGAAAAGGAGACCTTGATGGGGGGAGATGAGAGAACGGCAGAACTGTGGGAATCGCCTCGCCTGAGGACTTCAGACACTTCTCAGTTTCTTGCTTCCCTTCCTTGGCTTCCCTGTAGCGTTTGCTAGCGCTCTGCTGTAAGAAAGGTACTTAATGCACATGTCAGTGAGAACTGGAAATAAGGCAAGGAGAGGCTTTGGATGTGTGAAGATAAGTGTTATCGTGAGCTCCAGCATCCAGCTATGTATGTTGGTTTGGGGTTTTATTTTTAACAATCATTAAGCTTAATTGAAGAAAGCCAGAGACGTTTCAGCAGCTTTTGAGGAGTTTGAACCTGCTGTATTTTTGATGGCCATGTACAGAGCAGCTCTGCAGTGCCCCGGGACTCGGTGCGACTTCTCTGCCCTGCGGACGCCTGGCACCAAGCGCCTCCACGCACCGAATCCGCGCTCCGTTGCTGCAGTCCCAGCTGTAGGGTGGAGGGGACCTGCGGTGGGGCCCATCTCCAGGACCTGCCAGTCCTCCCACTGGGTGGCCAGAGGAACCATGTGAGGAGAAGCCGGCGGGATGCAGGGCCCTCCCAGTGCCCAGCACCGAGACCCAAGATGATGGCGTTCACCTTTCCAGTCTCCCTCCCACCACGCGCGCTCCCTCCACGTCAGGGGCACAGCGTGAGCCATGAGTCCATCCCCACCCAGAGCCACGGGCGTAGCCTCTCCCCGGGACGCGAAGCCAGGCAGAAAGCAAAGACTGAGGCTTCGTTTTCAGCATCAGCAAATGCCACCTGCCTGTCTGTAAAGTCCAGGCAGACCTGGATGGCCCTGGGGAGGCAGGCAAGGTGCAGGGGGGTCCAGTCAGGGTCCGTGAAAGCATGGTATTGTCCAAACCACTGCCCCACGGCCCAGATCCCCTCCTGGGGGGCAAAACTGAGGACCCCCTTCCTCCTGACAGACTCCTGGGCCACCCCCACAGCCCACCAGTCCCCCCCCTTGGCCACCTCCACCTCCCAGTAGTGCCTCCCCGCGGTGAAGCCCTGGCTGCCCAGCACACATGGCTCCGTGTCGAACCGCTCGGGGTTGTTGGGCAGCGAGGTCCACACGTTGCCCCGTCCCACGCCCCGCTGGTCACTGGCCAGGATGAGGAAGGGGTTGGCAGTGTCTGGGTCCAGGGTCACATCAGCTGGAGGCAGAGGGGGAGAAGCAGCTCAGGTCAGGCAATCCCAGGGGTTCACCGGGGCTGCATCCACCCCGGCAAGAGAAGGGACAGGGCGATTTCCTTTCCTGTGCCCAGGGATGTCCAGTGTGGGGTGGGAACCCCCCTTGTGCTGGGCTGCCCCAGCCTCAGTCCTAATCCTGCCCCTGTTCCAGCATTTTCCATGCAATCCCTGGCCAAGGACCTCAGCTTCCTGGAGGAGGATGCACCTGAGTGGTGGGTCCACATCTGCTGTGCAGAGACCCGGACCTGAGCTTGGGTGTCTCTGCGCTGCAAGAGCGAAACGGGCACGTCTGGGCACAAACCAGTGCAGACCATGATAGACTTTAGCCCAAGACCAGTAACCTGTGGCCCCGGATTCCTGTTTCTTTCTGTGGGCAATGGAGGGAGTCAAGGATGGCAGCTCAGGTGTCTGGTGGTGGTGGTGGGTCCACAGATAAGCACAAGGAATTAGCTGAGGGTGTTGCAGCCACCAAGTCTCAACACAAGCCCAGGGTGGGACAAGCCTGAGGTGCTTTGACCCTAAATAATTCTTCTACAGCAGAAGCAGGTTGCATTTTTCTCCTCAACAGAGGACAGTTCCCCCTCCTCTTCCCTTCTGAAAACTCACCTCTTCCACTCATCTCCTCCATCTCACTGGCCAGTGTCTCACTCCCTTGTCTCTCCATCCTGGATACCAGCACGTCTGCAGAAATCAGCGGGAGGTGAGGCAGGATTCCCTGTGGAAAGTGGAAATAGCAAGACTCAGAGAGTGCCTAACGATGATGAAGAAGCAGAGGAACGATAGGAAAGTCACAGCATTCGGGCAGTTTTCAGAAAGCCAGCACTCGCCTGAGGCCGACGCCAGGAAAGGAGGTTCTGGAGGGGTCTGAAGGTTTTCAGTCTGCGCTCCGCTCCCCGGATCATCAGCTCATGGCTGGGCTGGGCGTGCACAGCCTTTCCAGCTTGGTCGAGGGAGCAGGTCGAAGTCCAGAGGGGCTGGATGGCCTGGAGAGCGCAGCCGGGAGTCCAGCGCCCGTCTGCGGGAGCCACAGCACGGGAGCTTCCACCTCCTCTTGAATCAGCCCTGAGGGTGCCGGTGGGTGAGTGACCTCATCTAACACTTGACTTTGGGAGTTCCCTCCCAAGGTTCCTGCAGTGCCCTGATCCTGTTTGCACCGCAGGAACTGTGCATCTGCCCTCCCTTCAGCCAGCTGCAGCGGGGTGATAAGAGCCTGCTGCGCTGTATCATCCTGCGGCGGGATGCTCAGAGCCCGCCTGGGCCAGCGGCACCATGAGCACCCCCAGCCTGGTGGGACGTCACCTGGGGACACCGGCCACAGAGCAGCGGCCGTGCTCTGGGTGGCCAGGCTGTGGGAGGAGGTCTGGCTCCTTGTCACGCTGGCAGTGGGGTTCAGGGGGGGATGTTTGCAGGGCCTGCGTTGCCTCAATTGCTCAACTGGCGCATGGGAGACAGCAGGTGCTGGGCTTCGCGTCCCACCTCTCTGTTCTGCAGACAGCTTCTCACGTGCCCAGGGGCGATGGCCTCACCCCACCTCACCACCCCCAGCTTGTAGGGAACTTGGGAGGTGGCACCCATCCTGCTTGGTCACGTCACTCTGAGAGCCACTGGCTCAAAATAAAGCAGAGTGTGAGGGGACCTGGTGCCAGATGGCTCTGCTGCGCGGTGCTGGGACGGGGGCCTGGGGACAGACTGCCTGCCCAGGGACTATTCAGCCAGGCACTGCTGTCACCTGGTGCCATGGGCATGGCACAGCGGGGGCTGCTGCCGGCATCCAGTGTGTGCAGTCACCTGCTGCTGAACCTCCCACTGGCGGGGTCAACCAGTGACAAAATGAAACATGGACCCACAGAATCCCCTCGGTTGGAAAAGCCCCTGAAGCTCCTCCAGCCTGACCATGAACCCCACCCTGACCCTTCCCAACTCCCCCAGACCCCTCAGCGCTGGCTCAGCCCGACTCTTCAACCCCTCCAGGGATCCCGGGGACTCCCCCCTGCCCTGGGCAGCCCATTCCAACGCCCAACAGCCCCTTCTGCACAGAAATCCTTCCTCAGAGCCACGCTAAGACACAAACACTGACGTGGCCGGTCACACAGCCTGACGCAGGCAAGGGGCTCCTTCAGCAGCACCCACCTGCAGGACCCACGTCCCCTCCCACAGTGCTGGCAGAGCAGGAGGGCACCGTGCAGGGACATGTGCGACACTCCCCGGGTTCACGTGCACATCTGCAGAGCCCTCGAGCAGCGGCACAGCCCCTGTGGCCACCCAGCACCTCTGCCTGGCCCCCAGTCCCTCTGACACCCCCCCACAGGTCCCCAGCACACCAGCTGGTCCAGCTTGACGCTCGCTGCAAACACACAGCACTCAAACACTGATCCCACAGGCACCCCACACTTGTGCCCCTTTCCCCCCCCCGCCCCGACACCAGCATGGACCCTCTGCCTGCCTGACACCCCCGCCTAGCCCTGGGATCTCTGACTCGCCCCTCAGCCATGCTCGCTGACCGCTTTTACCTCTGTCTGCTCCCTTTTACACCCCTTTCCGCTGGTCCCCTTGCCTTGTCCTCCCTGATCCCCTTCTGCTGCACACGCATTGAAATATCCACGCACTTCCACTGACGCCCCCCAGTACCAGGCCCCCCTCGCTTTGCATCCTTACAGGTGCAGAGGCCAGGCTGGCGCTCGCAGGTTGGTGACAGCCCGGTGGTTAGCAGGAGTGATGAGGTTGGGTTATCACATTTACCTCCCTGTCCCTTGTCACCCCTTTTGAGGTGATGAGGCCCCCGTACCCCAGCAGATGCTCTCAGCCCCGCCAGGGACGGGGAGGGGCTGGACCCAGCACCCGCGGCCGCCGCGACACGACCCCGAGCAGCAGCTCTCTCCGGACACACCATCTTCTATCGCCTCTTGGCCAGGGTGGGAATTGCTCTTAAGCAATTTTTAAGGTGGCGCTGGGCTTTGCTCCCACCTCCGCGCTCTTCCCAGGGCCGTGGGGGCGCGTCCGTCCCCTCCCGGGGGGAGCTGCGGGAGATGCTGCGCTGTGCCGCGCGGAGGTTGTCCGCAGCAAGGCCGCGCTCGCGAATGATGCCAGAAGATGATTTCCGCAGAAAAAAAAAAAAAAAAAGGGCAAATCACTCAAGCTACTTTCGGTTTTGATGGGAGGCAGCACAGGAGGAAACGGGTGGCAGGTTGCGACACAGAGCGACATTTTGGTTTGATTTTCGGACCCAGAAATGCTTCACCCTGGTTGGGGTGGCCCCTCCGGGTGAACCTGGGGACGGCCGAGGAGCTCCTGCCCCCACCCAGAGCCCACGCAGGAGCTCGGGGCCTCCCGAAAGCTGCAGCTCGAACTCATTTCCCGCGTCCGTCGGGTCCTTCACATCCCGCTAACCCCGCCGGGGCTAAGCCGGCGAGCGGTAAGAGGGGCTGGGGGGTTGGAGCTTGGGCGGGTGTTCAATTTGTGTTGCGGTATTTTGCTTTCCCTGTTCTGAGACCTCCTCCTGCCCTCGGTCCGGTGGCAGGGGATGGGGTCCCGAGCCCCAGGTTTGTCCCTGAGGAGGAGCTCACAGCCCCAGGTCTGGCTTTCTCCTCCTCCTCCTCCTCCTCCTGGGCCTTTCCGGCTCTTTCTTACGGCTGGGTAAGAAAAGCAAGGGCTCCATATTACAACAACTGTCACTTTTTCATGAAATTAGAGGTGTTGCAGCTTGTCCTTTTTTTTTCCCCGTGGGAAATTCCTACAACTTTTAGGCACTTTGTAAAGTACCAAGCAAAGGCAAGGCTGATGAGAGAAAAATGATTCCAGCCTTTCGCATCTGAGGCTCTTCCCTAGGTGTTATAAAAAGGGGCTGCAATCAGCAATAAACCCTTTTAAAAGTGAATACTGCCCTTTTTTGGTATTATTTCTTTATCCTTGCTTTTTCCCTTTCCCTCCCTTTCCCCAGCTCCAGGTTTTGCTCCAGCAAAGAGGATGCCCTCTGCTTCCCACCTCTGCTGCTCTCTGCCGGCTTTTATCATTTATGGTTTAGTTTTCCACGTTCACGAGCTGCATTCAGGTAAGGATCCCCCTGGTTCTTGCTGATCCCTGTGGCATTGCTTCCAGAATTAATATTTTCCCAGTTGCCAGTACAGAAACTCCTTGTGAAAGGCAGAGCAGAGCAGGGACAGATGCTTTGCATAAACCATGTCCACTTCTGAGAGCACCAGCATCCCTCTGGAACCTGGTTTATTCCTCCAACCATGTCAGCACAGGCATTCGCACAACCTCCCTGAATGCTAACTCATGGAGTCATGGAATGGTTTGGGCTGGAAGGGACCTTAAAGATCATCCAGTGCCACCCCCCTGCCCCAGGCAGGGCCACCTTCCCCCAGCCCAGGTTGTCCAAAGCCCCGTCCAACCTGGCCTTGAACCCTGCCAGGGAGGGGACAGCCACAGCTTCTCTGGGCAGCCTGTGCCAGGGCCTCACCCCCCTCACAAGGAAGAGTTTCTTCCTGATATCTAATCCAAACTCCCCTCTTTCAGTTTAAAACCATTACCCCTTGTCCTATCCCTACACTCCCTGATCCAGAGTGTGTCCCCTCCTTTCCCGCAGCCCCTTTCAGCCCTGGGGGGCCGCTCTAAGGTCTCCCCGGAGCCTTCTCTCCTCCAGCTGAACCCCCCAACTCTCTCAGCCTGTCCTCATGGGGGGGGCTCCAGCCCCTGAGCATCTTCGTATTCTCCTCTGGCCCCGCTCGAGCAGGTCCGTGTCCTTCTAATGCTGTTGGTGCCCCAGAGCTGGACCCAGCCCTGCAGGGGGGATCTCAAGTGTTGAGCAGGAGAGAATCCCCCCCCTCGCCCTGCTGCCCACCCTGCTCTGGGTGCAGCCCAGCACACAGGTGGCTTTCTGGGCTGCAAGCAGACGTTGCTGGCTCACAGTCATCCCCTGATACCCCCAAGTCCTTCTCCTTGGGGCTGCTCTCCATCCCCTCCTCGCTCAGCCTGGGTTTGTGCTTGGGATTGCCCCGACTCATGGGCAGGACCTTGCACTTGGCCTCGTTGAACTCCATGAGGTTTGCACAGGCTCCCGGCCTGTCCAGGTCCCTCTGGATGGCACAACCCTTCCCTCCGGCGTGTCACCACCTCACACAGCTCCGTGTCATCAGGATGATGCCGATGAGTTGATTATAGTTGCTTAGTTGTAGTTACAGTTACAGTTAGAGTTTGCTGCCATTTCCCTTCTTGATTTTCCTGTTCTCAGCATGTTCCCAGCGTGTCATCACTTTACTGGGCTGTGTCCAGGATGTGCTGGATCCTTTGCAGAACAAATACAATAAGGTGAAAAAAACAAACAAACAAAATATTCTGGGTTCTTTTTCTGTTAGATTTCTGACCTGAAGTTGCTTTTTCAAGGCAGCCCTGGCAAAAGGATGCCGCACAGCAGTTGACCTAAAAGTTACCTTGCCAAAAAAAAAAGTTGTTTTTCTTTTGTTTTCCTTCAACTAGAAACCACTTTCTCCGTGAATTGAGTGGCCAGCTTATTAATAAACCTTTTCTTTATTAATTTCCAAAAATGCCCAGAGCACCTGAGATGTTTCTGTTTTCTCTTGTAATAGGTGCAAATAGCTGAAGATATTTATTTGCAAATAGATGAAGATATTTGAGTTTTAAACCCAAGTTGCCCGTTCTCTCCAGCCGATCACCCAGAAACCTTTCAGCAGCTCCTTCATTTCTTTTTCCTGCTTTCTTCCTGTCCTGAGCAGCATGGCAGCACTTGGTCCCTTGAGAATAAATCATCTCCTAGGGATGTGAAGGACTTTCACGGTAGTGCAGGACGGGGAGGCAGTAGCCTGGCCCGCCGTGCTCCTGGTCCCTCTCCCTGCCCTCCCCTAAACGCCTCATCTCCCCGGCACGGTTACGCCGCCGACGCGGTGACAAAGCCCGGCAGCACACGGACGGCGCGGAGCAGCACCTGCTGGTTTTCTGAGCTCGGTCACCACCGCAGCCAACTCACGGTTATTTCTTCTTTCTCCGGGTATTTTTCCCAGCGTTGCTCAATGTGACAGGAACCCCCGGCCCCATCACCGTGGCCATGGGCAAGGATGTGGTGTTGCCCTGCCGCTTCTCCCTGGAGCACAGCACGCAGGACATCGAGGTGACGTGGTTTCGGGAACACTTCTCGCCCTTTGTGCATCGCTACAAGGGGGGGCAAGACCTGTACGGGGATCAGATGCTTCAATACCAAGGACGCACTGAGCTGCTAAAGAACGGCCTCGCCAACGACAGCGTGGACTTGAAAATTTTCCGTGTCCAACTGTCTGACAAAGGGAATTACACCTGCTTCGTTCTCCATGGCCTGGAATACGACGAGGCTGTGGTGGAGCTGAGGGTGACAGGTGTGTAGTCCAGGTCCCTGGTACCTCTAATTTATTTGCTCGGAGGTGTTCTTCTTCCCGCTCTTTCCCAGAAGCAATTCCATGTGGTTGCTTTGGAAATAGTGTTTTATGAAGTCCCGTGGTTGAAAATACCCAGAATGTCCCAGAGAGGTAAAATTGCCTCCCAAGCGGCTGGAAGGAGCTCGTGAGATATGCTGCCTACTTCAGATATGTTCTTGATATTGTTTCCTTCATATAAGTGAGTGTAAGAAAAGAATTTGGCATTCGATAATCAAGTAAGAGTGTCTTGGTTCGTGGTTTTATATGTTAATATCTAGGCCTGCAGATTATTTTGCTGCAGTAGTAGCCTCCAGAGCAGATCATGTGAAAAAGACTGCAGGAAATGTCCCGACTCCAGCTGACACTTGTCTTAAAAAAAGCCCTGAGATTTGTCTGTGTTGCAGTTTATCCCAGAGCCAGGGCACCTTACTGCCCCGAGCTCTGGCACCCAGCAGATCACCTGAGAGTCTCTGTCTCCCTGCAGCCGGCGGCTCTGCCCCGCTCATCGCGCTGGAGCGCTACGAGGACGGGGGGATCCGGGTGGCCTGTCGCTCGGCCGGCTGGTACCCGCAGCCCCAGGTGCTGTGGCAAGATCCCCAGGGGCAGCATCTCCCATCCCTCTCAGAAAATGTTACCCAGGACAAGAGCGGACTCTTTGCAGCAGAGAGCAGCATAATCTTCACCAGAGGTGGGAACCAGAAGCTTTCCTGCCGGGTCCGACATGCCCTGCACAGCCAAGAGCAGGGATCGGCGTTTTACATATCAGGTGAGCAGAGGTCAAGGCCGACAGCCCGCTAAGGCTCGGGATGGAGCTGTGCTGGGAAAGCACCGGCAGCAGAAAATCTCCGGCGCGTGTTGCAGGCTACGTGCTCAGCACATCAAGCGTCATTTGGGCACGCGGTGTGCGAAGAGGCTTTGTGCGGCGTTTGTACAGGTGTGCTGCCAAAATTCACCCCTTCTGTCCTGAACTGTGGGGTTGGAGGGGGGAAAGGGACAATCCTCGGTGTCGCAGAGTTTCAATACAAACACCCATAACGCTAGAACCAAAGGGAAAGAACAGCTCGTGCACTGAGTCGCCTCCGCTGTGAAATCCTGAAGTCACTCATGTCTCGTTCCAGCATCTGCATATATTGAACATCTTTTAATTTTTTTCTTATCACACAGAAAAGCTCCTTTGTTACTGGAAGGCTGATTTGAGGTGGGGAGTGTATCAGAACAGAGATGCAATGAACTGGACTAACCAAACACCGAAGTGCAGCGCAGTATCGCGTGCTTTTCAGCTGCACCCTATTCTTTTTTTTTTTACTTTGGGAATGAACAATTTGGGAAGGTTTTCTTTCCCTGGGTACCTTTCTCCTGGTGACAGTGCTCTGCCCTGAAGCTTGCTGTTGATGATGTTACCTAGTTTCTGCTCCTACGTTGCCTAATGAAATACAGTAATTTTTTTTTTTTTTCCAAAGGAGAAGAAAGCATGATTTAACTAGAAATAATTTGGGTAGAAATCCGCTCTCCCTTTAAAAATCCCCCACAATGTGTGCAGACAAAACACCATCAGCCCCAGACAAGTGCTAAATGGCCAAAATGGATTGATATATTTTTTTTTTTTTTTTTTTTCACCCTCGGTGGGATTCAGACCTGCTTGAGATGACCTTGTATGAACTAGAAATACTCTACTTCCTATTGCTGCTTGCAGAGTAACTTAACTGATTTGCGGGTTTTCTTTTTCAGATCCCTTTTTCCACAACGCCCAGCCTTGGATGACCGCCCTGAGTGTGGTCCTGGTTGCTGTAGTCGCTCTCTTTATTATTGCTGTTTACCTGTGTAAACTGAAAGGTAACGTCCCGGAGCGGTGTCTGGGGAAGGGCTGTGGGCTCTTGTCCTGCTCAGCCACCTTAGATTTGACCGACAGGTGGGTTTGAGAAATGCCCAGATGGCCCTGGAGTCTCGTCTTAATGTCTCGGACACGCGTGTGGTGCCAGGCAGCTGAAAGACCCAGGGATTTAACGTCTGGCAAGAAAACGAAGGTTGTTTCTCCAACCAAACGTCTAGCAAAGAAGCAAGTGGGCATTAAAGCAGCGTGAGCCAGCCATCCCTCTGGCTGAGGGTGGATTCCGCCTGCAAAAACGGAGCGATAACTTGCTTGGTCCTGCAAAAAAAAAACCAACCTGCTTTTGGGGCCTGGCAGGGTTTCCTTTCCCTCGGAAAGGCCCCTCGGGGTGTAAATAGCACAGCGGAATAAAGGAAACAGAAATCCTCTGTTTGTTACCAAAGGGGATGGAGCCGGTGGGTCGGGCAGGCGCCGCAGCACTCCCGGACCCCCGCGGCCCTGCACGGGGCTGTAGCTCCTGCTGTGGTTTAATCAGCGCTCTTTGGAAGGGAAGATTTTTTAAATTACTGACATTTCTTTCTTTTTTTTTTCCTTCACAGGAAAACACGAGAAAAAAATAGGTAAGTTTACTTTCCATTGTCCATAAATTGGACAACTCCCTCAAAGCGAAGAGTCCGTGGGGCCCGTTTCTGGTGGATGTGGGGGGAAGGAGATGGTTTGGGAGGCAGCTAGAGAAAAATTCTGAAATTAATCGTGGAATGATTTGTAATTTTAAGGAAAATCACTGCGGAAACAATGAACGCATGAAAGATGCTGTACCCAGCAGTGGGCTTTGCTTTTCAAAGGGCTCCTCTCAAAGCTGGAGGCAAGCAGGGGCGGGGTGGTTCTGTAGCACTGCGGGGGGAATTTAACCCCACGCTCCTGCCCCTTCGCTGCCCCAAAGCGATGCGGTGCCGGCCTCTGCCGGGGGGGTCTTGGGGGGGGACAAGAGCTCCCGAAGTCTCGAGGGGCTCCTGGGCTGAGGCTTTCCCTCCCCACCCCAGCAAGTGCGTCAGGGCAAAAGGAATCGGCTTTGGCGGTGACGCTCTGCTCCGGTTTTGCTTTTCAGCGATGCAGGCGGCAGCACTGCGTGAGTCTGGCTCCCCACCTCCCCGGCGAAACCCTCTGTGGAAACTTTCAGACTGTTCTATTCATCCTCTCATTCTGTTCAAATGTTCTTGTTAAGCGGATCCTTCCTCCCTCCCTTGGCCCCATAATAATGTGAAAATTCACGCTGAAAAGTCATTAGGGTTTTGGTTTTGTTTTTTTTTTTTTCCTGAGGGGCTGTCAGTGCTTTTTAACATTTTAATTTGACCTCCTGGCCCTCGGCAGGGCTGCCCAGGGCAGGGGGGAGTCCCCGGGATCCCTGGGGGGGTTGAAGGGTCGGGCTGAGCCAGCGCTGAGGGGTCTGGGGGAGCTGGGGGGGGTCAGGGTGGGGGTCATGGTTGGGCTGGAGGAGCTGCAAGATCCTTTCCAACCTCAATGATTCTGGGATTCTGTCATTTAAGTAGTGAAATGGTGCTGAAAATTAATTAGTTTCCAGGGGAAGATTATAGAAACCTAAGAAATATAGGATTTTCTTATAAAAATTTTAGACTGTTTAATTACAAGGACATTTAAAAAAAAAACCAAAACCACCACAAAAACACTTGAAGAGGACGTATATTTTTGTTTGTTTGCTTGCGGCTGAAATAATTGCCAAGCAGCAGTCCTTTGGCTATTAAAAATAAACTCTTGCTAAATTGGTGTCGTGGGGAGGGGGAATCTATAATGATGAAAATAAATCCAGGCCAGTTCATCAGGAATCATTAACACCGTTAGAGCGTAAGTCAGCACATCTGCTCCCCCCAGCACAGCCTCCCTTCGCCTGTGTGGCCCTAGAGAGGGCGTTGTGTCAAATAGTCACCGCTTGTGTTTCTCTTTTTTGTTCAGGGGAACGTGACGCAGAAATTGGTGAGTCTTCTTTTCCTTCCGAAGAATTTTTTAGAGTCTGTATAGGGTGTGGTCTCTTTTTTCCTTTTCACTTCTGAAGCGCGTGATGGAGCGGCGGAGGGGTAAGGGGGGAAGGAACAGAGCGAATGTGGGAATCAAAGAATTGAAGATCATTGGAAACGGGGTCTGGGGTTGGGAGTGGCGACTGCAGTGGGGGCACACGTAGGGTGACAGTGGCCCGTGATGGGTCCCCGTGTGTGAGGGATCTCCCAGAGACCTTTTTCTGCCCCAGATTTGAGCAGGACAACATGTAGCATCACCCGCAGAGCGCCAGGGCTCTGCGTTGCCAAGTGTTGGCAGAAACCCACCCTCCCGCATGTGGGGCTGTCACAGGGGAGGTTACAGCCGGATCAGTATCCACCTGATCTGTGCTGATTTGTTTTCTTTTTCAGAGAAGCAAGCTGATGAACTTGGTGAGTATCTTTCTCCTTCCTATATGGGAGACTTTTCAGTTGAGCCAGTTTCTCGTCTGGGCTTTGCACCTGTACCACAGTTTTGCCTTTGCTTTTGGGAAGGGCAGAGGTAGCAAATACTGAACTCATTTCAGAGATGTCCTTTGTTCTTTAGATGCTTTTGAGCTATTCCCTGTAATCCTTCCATACTAAGTAAAAAATTCTTTCAGTTTTCAAAGTACAAACAGACCATAAATACACAGACACCCCCCCTGCAGGGCTGGGTCCAGCTCTGGGGCACCAACAGCATTAGAAGGACACGGACCTGCTCGAGCGGGGCCAGAGGAGAATACGAAGATGCTCAGGGGCTGGAGCCCCCCCCATGAGGACAGGCTGGGAGAGTTGGGGGGTTCAGCTGGAGGAGAGAAGGCTCCGGGGAGACCTTAGAGCGGCCCCCCAGGGCTGAAAGGGGCTGCAGGAAAGCGGGGAGGGACTCTGGATCAAGGGGGTAGGGATAGGACAAGGGGTAATGGTTTTAAACTGAAAGAGGGGAGTTTGGATTAGATATCAGGAAGAAACTCTTCCTTGTGAGGGGGGTGAGGCCCTGGCACAGGCTGCCCAGAGAAGCTGTGGCTGTCCCCTCCCTGGCAGGGTTCAAGGCCAGGTTGGACGGGGCTTTGGGCAACCTGGGCTGGTGGAAGGTGGCCCTGCCCGTGGCAGGGGGGTGGGACTGGATGATCTTTAAGGTCCCTTCCAACCCAAACCATCCTGTGATTCCGTGTGACTGATCAGGACAGGCAGTGTAGTTACATTTGTAGAAAGCAGATGGAGCCCTTTATGTAGCTAGACACTGAAGTTTGGGAGCTGCACCCTTTCACAAATGCAGCAACAATTCAGACCATGCAGCTGCAGTGGCCTACCCTGATGCTGAGCTGATCCAGTAACAAGTGTGTTCCGGTGACCTCTTATCTTTTTGTTTGTTTGTTTGTTTTCATAAAGCGTGGAGAAAATACGCAGTGCCTATAGAAGAAGGTAACTAAAGTTTGGTCTTTCAGGGTGCTGAATCATCTTCCCTGCTTTAATCTCCCTTCTGGGTAGTTTCCCTCCCACAGTGATGCTGGTGGGACTGGGGATGCTTCTGCCAGCCCTCACTTTACAGGGGGAACACCCAGGCCCCCTGTTCCTTTGGCGCGTGCCCCAGCGTTTGGGGCAGATCTGGAGAGCTGTAGTCCGCAGTGAGCGGTGCTGGCCACGATTCTAGACGTGGGGACTTCTTCATGTCTGCTGACCTCCTTCCCTCTCTGCTTGATGTCATCTCTTGGCTTCGCTCTCTGTTCCCTGCACAAATATTGTTGTCTTGTGCAGCTTCTCACGCCACAATCTGCCAACTGTCGCTTGCACCCTTTTTCTTCTTCCTTACGCACCCCCAGCAGATACGCCTCTGAGGTGAGCTCTGCCCTGACGTGTTGACTCCGTCTCTCCCGCAGTGAAGGTGGTTCTGGATCCAGACACAGCCCACTGCGACCTTGTCCTGTCCCAGGACTGCAAAAGTGTGAAACGAGAAGACACGCTGCAGGACATCCCCGACATCCCTCAGAGATTTAACCCGTGGCGCTGCGTGCTGGGCCGCGAAGGCTTCACCTCGGGGAGACACTACTGGGAGGTGGAGCTGGTGGATGGGGGAGGGTGGACTGTGGGGGTCTCTAGAGAAGATGTGAAAAGGAAGGGAGATATTGAGTTTAAACCCGAGGAGGGCATCTGGGCGGTGGGGAAGTGGGCGGGGAACTTCCAAGCTCTCACGTCCCCGAATCGCACTCTCCTTCCTGAAATCCAGACTCCCAAGCGGGTCCGGGTCTCCCTGGATTACGAAGAGGGACGGGTGGCATTTTTCAGTGTTGACGAGGAGATTCCCATCTTCACGTTTCCATTGGTGTCATTCGAAGGGATAAGAGTCCACCCTTGGGTCTGGCTGGGTCCTGGGACGTGGCTCAAAATGTGGCCCTGATGGAGGGAGGGAAGTAAGAGAAAACTTTTTTAGGGGACCTCAGGAGTTCAGACCCACAGAAGGATTTAGGTTAGACGGGACTTGTGGAGGTTTCTGTAGCAGGCACGTGCTCGCAGCAGGACTAACCCCGGAGCTGCTGAAGGTGTGTTTGGGCCTCGTTCAGCTCAATCGTGTGGGATCTCCAAGGGGGGAGATCTCGTCACCTCTCCGAGCCCCTCTCCTGGCGCTACACCTCTCTCAAGGGGAAGAATCGACCCTTTACGTTTGGTCAGAGTTTCCCCAGCTGCAGGTGACTGTCACCCTTCATCCTCGCTCTTTACCTGTTGAACAACACCTCCACCGAGAAGGCATTCCTGCAGCAGGGATTGCTTTTTAAATGTACGGAATAAAGTTACTTCAGTGGGATTTGGCCGTGTCTGTGGCGTTGTTTCCACCTCCCTTTAGCCTGTGGGGAGGTAGCAGGCACTTCCGAGAAAATGGTTCACCACATTGTTAGCAGGAGGTAGTGACGGTATGTCGGTGGGATGGGTCCCCGCACCTGCCCTTGTCCCCGCGCCTGCCCTTGTCCCCGCACCTGCCCTTGTCCCCGCGCCTGCCTGCAGCACGAGCCCAGATGCTGAGCTCACCTGTGACCTGGAGACACCTGAGACTGTGGGGTGGATCCCACCTTTGGTCGCTCCTGCTGGAGGAGGAGAAGCTGCTCTCAGAGCCTGCTCCAGGCTCCTCAGCACTGGAAGCAGAAGCAGCAAAATCATCGTTGCTAGCAGGATGGATGACGTAACCCTCATTTCCCTCTTGCCTTCCCCTAAGGGAAGCAGGTTCAGCAAGGAGTCGCTGTCTTTGCTCCTTTACTCTCCCCACCAGGACGGCAGGACCCCAGGATCTCTCCTGGCTTCCTCCTCGCTGCTTGTAAGGAGCCGTGGGAGGGAGGAGTGTGCCTGCACGCGACTCCTGACCCGGGCACCCCTTTCCTGGGGTACAGCGTGCCCCTTCCCCTCCAGCAAGGCTTGTCACAGTAGGCCGCTTGGGTCTTCTGCTTCTCCTCCCTCAGGGAGTGAAGAAGGTGGAGTGAAGGACCTTTAGAAGATGTCCTAGTGTGTTCATCCACCTGGAAAAGGGAGACAGAGAGGCAGAAGCAATGGTAAGGGCTGTGGGTTGGGAACGTGGGGCCATGGCACGGAAGACGGGGGTGTCGTGGGGGTGGCGTAGGGCCAGCGTGAGGGAGAGCGTGGTGCTGTGAAGGAGGGGAAACCGCATGCAGGCTGAACCCCTGGGATGCTATGAGAAGGCCAGGGCTACATTTGCTCTCTCCCTTCCTACCTCCGCTTTCTGTTGGAAATTGTTGATGCAGAGCCAAAAAACAGCCCGTCAAGTGCTGCCTCTGCTCCTGCCTCCAGCTCAGTTACTACAAGGTGAAGTAAAATGCCGCTGCAGTGCGTGGGCTGGGGGTGAGAGAGAGCCCGGGAGAGGGCACGGGAGGGGCAGCTGGCCCTGACGGATATTCCATACCGTGTGGCGTCATGCTGAGCAATAGAAGGGGACGGGAAGAGGGGAGGTTTTTCAAGGTACCATCGCTCAAGGACTGGTTGAGCATCGGGCTGCTGGTGGAAGGTGGTGAGTTTTTTTTTTTTTTTCCTCTTTCTTCCCTTCACTCATTAAAACTGCCTTTAACCCACAAAGGGGTTTTTTGCTTTTCCAGTTCTCTCCCCCATCCCACGACAGAGGCAGTGGACGAGCAGGTGATGGGTGCTTAGCTGCTGCCTGGGGTTGACCCACCACAATCCACAGAATGAAAAACCAGTAGAAAGCCATTAACTCCTTGTCTCTGTAGCATTTCCCCTTGCAGCTTTTGGGTGGCCCTGCAGTCCGCGATGCTCTGCAGTGACCTATGGGCCAGGGAAGTGGAGACAGCTTGACTGCAGGAACAGGCAGCAGGAGGAATTGCAAAACCGAGCTCCTTCCTCTGCCTCTAATCTCCTTGTCTGGTCTGTGCTGCGGCTTCTCCCGCAAATGTTGAAGCTGCCTCTCAGCTCTCCAGAGGCGCCATCCCCATTTTCCCCGGCAAGCCAGAAAGAAAGGATCCCTCGTCTACACCACAAACGGCTGGCTGAGGTAATGTGCAGAAACTGTTTCTCGCTGGGGTGCCAACTAGCCTGCAGTCCCCAGGTTGAGGTGCCCAAGCATGGAAGCTCGGAGTGCGCTGAGAGAGCTGCCTTGGAGCAGAGGGAGGGGCAAACATTTGGACAAGGGACCCTTATCCCAGGATGTAAAAAGGGAACAGCGGGACATGCAAGGGCTCCTCCCGGGTGCGACCCCCTCTCCTTTACCATGCAGAAGCAAGAAATTCTGGAGCCGTGTTGAGACTTTTCCAAGGAGACAGCGGTGGGGCAGCGCAGTTAAAGCGAGGGCTGTGCTGAAGGGCAGGCCATGGGTTTGGCTGCTCAGGAAGCCGCAGGTCCCTTCCCACAGCTGTGTGTGCTGATAGAGGGCCTGGGCAGCCCTGCTGCCCGCGCGGCCACCAGAGCAGCACCCGACCCGCGGGCAGGAGGGGGCAAAGAGGCAGCTGGGCAAAGGCTGGAGGGTCCGCGGGTGAGTCCCAGGGAAGCAGGGTCCATCGGGGGCTGGGCACACAGGGCAGCCGTGTCTGTGCAGGGGAAGCTCTTTTCACGCGATTCATGCCTCTGTCCTGAGAACCCAAATCTATCAGCGGGCTCAGCCGGCGCTGGGTAAGAGCACGTTCAGGGAGCCTCTGCCAGCACATGGCCTCTCCGGGCGGGGACGGGTGTGGGTATGCGGAGACGCGAACACCGCAGACCCACTGCTTTTGCTGTGAGGAGGCACGTGAATCAAGTTCTCCCTCCCGAGACGAGGATGAGGTGAGCAAAAGGGCAGAGGTGGTGTCTCCTTGCCGAGGCTGAGATGATGGGGTGGGTGCTGACAATAGGTGAGGGACTCATCTCTCCCTTCCGTCCTCCCAGGGAGGAGCTGCAGGGCTCAGAGGGCTCCCAGAGGGTCTGGCAGGGGATGCCAGCGCTACTGCAATGTGTGTCTGCCCGTGTCCACACCTCTTGGCTCTTCCCTCCAGGCCATGTGGGTCCCTGCCCTGCTCCTGCTCATCACCCCCGTCCTGCTGCCCCCAGCTGGCACCACTGACCCGGACCAGCTCTGCCCGTCAGAGATGAACAAGGTCAAGGACATTCTGGAGGTGAACTGCACAGGGCAGACTCTCAGTGCGGTGCCCCCAGACCTGCCTGCGGACACGGGCATCCTGCTGCTCAGCACCAACCGCCTGACATCCGTCTCCACTGCCGCCTTCCTGAACCTCAAACAGCTGCAGGACCTCGACCTGTCCCACAACGGGCTGGTGGATCTGGACACTAACATCCCGCTGCCATCCCTGAGGGAGCTGATCCTCTCCCACAACGCGCTGGGGGCCCTGCCTGTCCTGGAGGGCCTGCCCATGCTCACCCGCCTGGCCGTGGCTCACAACAGCTTGACACAGCTGAGGCCAGGGGCTTTCCAAGGTATGTCACAGCTGAAGGACCTGGACCTGCGCGGGAACCAGCTCCGGACGCTGCCCGAGGACGTCTTCGCAGGGCTGAATGCGCTCGAGGACTTGGACCTCTCGGATAACCTCCTGGAGCAGCTGCCCAAGGACCTGCTGCAGGATCTGAAAAAGCTGGTGACCCTCTGGCTCTCGGGGAACCGCCTGCGGGCGCTGCCCAGTGAATTCTTCCCTGAGGGGCACCTCTTCATGTATGTCTTCCTCACTGAGAACCCCTGGCACTGCGACTGTGACCTGCTCTACCTGAAGGCCTGGATCCGGCAGAACGAGGGCAGTGTCTATCAGCCGGAGCGGGGTCTGGAGAAGACAAAGGTGGAAGTCGCCCCTGAGAAGGTGCTGTGTCACAGCCCTGCCGAGCATCAGCGGAAGCCCATCATCTACTTCAAGTCCAACTGCAGCAGTGTGGGGGATGAAGAGGAAGAGTATGACGACTACGGTGAGGAAGAAACAAAGGAAAAAGCGACCGGGATGGCCCCGGGTCCATCTGTCCCCGAAGAGCACCCTACCATGCCCCGTGCTGTTACCTGGCTTCCCCTCACCACCTCAGGGCCTCCCCTCAGCACCCCTTGTAGCTCCACCCTTGCCCCAAGCACTTTGCTTGAGGTGCCTCCAAGCACCAGAGCTCCCAGCACCACCGCTCCGGTGCCAGCCAGTCCCGCCCGCACACCCGCACAGGCGCCCAGCACTGCCACCGCTCTCCTTTCTGCTCCCGCTAGGACCCCCCCCAGACCCACCACCCCCGTCCCGATCACCTCACCGCCAGCCGCTACGAGCACCGGACCTCCCAGCACGAGCAGCGGTCCCCAAAGCACCCTCAACACCTCCGCCGCTCCCATGGTGTCCACCGGCCTATTCGCCCCCAACCCCACGGCAGCGCCTTCTCCTGCCACGCTAGAGGCCTCTTCAGCCGCCAGATCTTCGTCTCCTCCTCTGACATCCACCACACCAGCGGGCTCCACCGCCACACTTCCCACTCGGGCCCCAGCACTGTCGACAACCCTGGGCACCGCTCGCTTCACCCGGCCTGACCGTCCCCCTCCTCCTGGCCGTCTCCCCTTCTGCCCGTGCTCCAGCCCGGAGCACACCGCACCTGTGCTGCGCTCGCGGGCAGGTGGGGAGGGCCCACAGTGGGGGCAGTGGGTGCTGAGGCACTGCTGCCTATTGCACTGGGTGCTCTACCTGGCCTGCTTGGGTCTGCTGGTCCTGAGCGTGCTGGCTCTAGCAGGCTGGCTGGTGTGGGGGTGTCTGGCGGGACGGCCCTCCTGGCGCAAGCCCCTGCAGACCCAAGAGGATCAGCGTCCTCTGCTGAGGCTGAAGGAGCCGGCAGAAGGCAGCCCTGCGATGGAGCTCAGCACCTTCAGAAGCCCCCTCCGGCGCCCCACGTTCTGCACCATCAGGGAAGTGGAGCTGTGCCCCGAGATCACTTACTGCACAATTAAAGATGTGGAGATACAGCGCAGTCCTCCCGCGAACACCTCCTTCTGCACCACAAAGGAGCTCTGGGTCCACCGCAGCCCTCCGAACGCCCCGGTCAAGTCTTTCTCCGGGAATAGGATGGTCACGGACCTCGACCCCCTGAGCAGCCCTTCTGCTTACAGCCTGGACGGGGGTGTCGAGGCCATCGGCGGCGTCCGAGTGAAATACGCTGGCAGCTCCTTGTGAGTGCTCCGGTGCACGAGCGAAGGAGACGGCGGGTCATGGCTCTGCGCCGGGTGCTTTGTTTTAGGGGGGAAGCAGCTGCTTGCCCAGCGGGGAGCCATCCAGCTCCTTCCTCTAGCGTTGCTCTCACACACCCTGGAGTTTCTAGAGCTGAAATAATTACTTGGGTAACCGGCAGGGGGGAGACGTCTTAAACTGGTCAGTGACAGTTTGGGGCTGCCGCTGCCTGGTTTCGGGGTGAGCGTGAGGAAGAAGAGCTTACTTTGCATTCTATGCCCCAACTGCTTCTGTTTGGGTGATGCACATAAAAACACGCTGTGCTTTCAACTCAGTGCCAGGCTGTCAATCACAGAATAAATACTCTTTGCCTGAATTTCAAACGGGTGCCAGTTTCATTTCTCTGGACCCCCCCCAGTCCTGGCAGGGTACAGTGAATGGCGAAACTGTCTTCAGTACCGGGAACTGTGAAGATAGAAAAGCTCACTTACACCTTATAATGCGTGATCCTCCCCTGGGAGATTGAATCATGTGGGAAAAGCATCCCGCTGCATGTCCCACCGCCACGCAGGAAAGTCAGGAAACAGTAGCGTCAGTGCCTCAGCGCCCCATTATGGGATGGCTGGAAATGGAGGAGGAGGGCGGGAGGCTTCAGAGGGCGATGGGTGCAAGGGAGACACAGTGGGCAGTTTGGGTCCAGCCAGACTTTGTGACCACCAGTTGTAGAACTCACCCAAACGCTTTTGGAGGTGCGGGGAGGAGGCAGAAGTTGTCACCGGAGGGGTCAAACGGCAGGCCTCAGCACTGGCGCACAAAGGCAGCAACTAGATCATGGGAATCGTTTTTGCAGTCCCAAACGCTGTTCCAGCTCGAACTGTCCCAAACGTGTTGTCCAGCTGCGTGGGTCAGCCCTTCTGCCAGATTACCTGCTCCCCAGAATGGGCTGCCCAGGGCAGGGGGGCGTCCCCAGAATCCCCGTTACCGGGGCCTCTCCTTGCAAGGCGTCCCCAGGGTTCTCCCACCTCTGCACACAAGCAGCCCTTCAGGTCGCTCCAGGAAGCCAAGACCTCCCGGAGCCAGCTAGGATCCCCCAGTGCCCCCTGTCCACCCTACCATCTACTCCCCAAACCCTGGCACCCCCAGGACTCTCTCGTTCCCTCAGGACCCCCCCATGCACCCCAAGATGCCTCTCAATCCCGAGGCACAGCACACCCTCCCCCATGTCCAATGCACACAGGCCCCCCCGAGCCCCAGTGGCCTCCTCCTGCCCCCTGGTCCCCACTGCCACCCATCCAGGACACTCGGGCCATCGGTCTCCTGCTCTCCTCCTGTTCCTCGCAAGAAGCACCTGCACCTCTGGGCTCCCCAGCAGAAAAAAAAAAAAAAACAAGACCAGTTCAAGAGCCACTTTTATTCAACCCAAGTGTGTGGGGATATCTGGGGACCCCCAGCTTCCAGTGAGGTGCTCAGGGCAGGGGGTGGGTATTCCTGGAGACACGGGGTTGCAGTGTGGGGATTCTTCGTGTCTCATGAGATCCCCACAGTCAAGGGCATGTACTTTGGGGTGGGGGTTCGCTGGAAACCACAGGAGGAATCCATTCTGGGAGAGGGATCTGGGGGTGATTTTGTCCCACAGAAGCGCCCATGGACGCTACCTGGGGATCCCAGTATGGGGTGCAGAGCTTTGCAGCCCCCCTAAGTATTATTGGGGGTTTCAGGTGACTTTGAGGGGTCTTTAAGGCAGCTGGGGCCACGCAAGGCAGGGGGTACAGTGAGGACACAGACTTGGAGGTCAGTATAGGCATGGGGCAAGGTTCCCCGGGTGATCCAGCGCCGAGCGCCCGGCTGATAGGCGTGGATCAAGTGGGTGTCCTGGTAGGTCTCGTGACTGTACCCTCCCAGTACGAGCAGCTCCCCCCCTAGCACAGCTGCACCCCCAACTACATGGGCATGAGGCAGGGGGCTGAGGAGGACCCAGCTGTCCAGCTTGGGGCTGTAGACCTCAAAGGCCAGCTGGTCCCTGTAGCCAGTCTGCCCGTCCTGCTGGCAGAGCCCCCCAGCCACATAGAGCTGCCCACCTGCCTCCTCCATGACGTGGCCAGCTCGCTGGCCATTCATGGGGGCCAGAAGCGTGGCAGGCATACCGGGGATGTAGCGCAGCAAGGATGCCTGGCACTGGGATGCCTCATTGCACCCCCCTGACACGTAGAGGGCACCATCCAGGGCACATGCTGCATGCCCACACAGAGCCATGGGCAGGGGCTGGCACCTCCTGAGCAAGGAGAGAGGGAGGGGTGAAGGACAGGTTAAGCAGGGCCGCCCCACAGTGACCGACTGCCCAGGAGTTCCCCAGTGAGCCACGGCTCCACTGACCAGTGCAGGCAATGCTGGCCGACACCTGACGAGCCCCAGTGGGCAGCAGCAGCTGACACATAACGGATGCCCAAGGGGCGTCACCGTTCAACACTCTGTAGACCCCAAAAGACACCATTGGTCAACCCACAGTGTACTCCCTCACGGGACAACATTGGCCAACACCCAACAGAGCACCCAGTGCCGGGAGATGCTTAAATGGTTCATCTCATTGGCAAATGGGCAACAGACCCTCAATGAAAACTGTCGGCCAAAGACTCATTCACCACCCCAAGGTTGCTCACCACCCGGTAGACCTCTCCCAAAGGCCACTGTAGGCCCATTCTCCATTGGAGGCTCGGTGACCCAAAGACCACTCAATGGGCACCACTGGCCAGTGTAAGGGGCTCCTAGGGCAGAGGAAAGCGGGTGGCTACGTGGAGCGGTCTCACCTCCAGGTGTCATTGGCCAGGTCATAGCACTCCACAGTGTCTGTGCAGTAGAGCTCCCTCGAGCAGCCCCCCAGGGCATAGATGAAATCCCCAAGGGCCACAGCAGCGAAGTAGCTCCGTCCACAGGTCATGCTGGACAGGCGCTCCCAGGAATCGTCCATAGGCTGATACCTGGGTTTGAGAGGTAAAGGGGCAAGAGACCACCGGTTACCTACAGTGCCGTGAGGGGATGTTGGCCACGTGGGCCCCACCTGCTGGGCAATACCAAACCCATAAAGCCCTGAGGGAACTCCAGATAGGAGCCTCCCTGCCCTAACCCCCAAAAAACTGTAACAACCTGGAGTGGGAGGGCATGTCCCAGTCCTACACCCAACCAGAATGTCTTGGGCCTCTTGGCCAACGGCAATGCCACAGTGGTCCGTGGGGCAGCTCACCCCTCCTCTGATCCCAGAATGTCCTGATGCCACATGGCACCTCTAGGTCCTCCGTAGCTCTCACCTGTAGACACTGGCCAGCGTGTCGTGGACCCCGTAGTAGCGTTTGCCACCCAGGACATAGAGAATGTTGCCCACAACAGCTACAGCATGGCGGAAGCGCGGGCCATCAGGAAAGTGTCCCAGTGCCCGCCACTCCACCTGCTTCACCAGCCCCACGGCACTGAGGTAGCGGTGGGCAAACCAGAGGTCTCTGCTGGGCTTCCGGGCAGCCAGGTTGGCCGTCAGTTTGTCTCCACCACAAACCACCAGCACCTCTTCCAAGGAACGCACCCGGCATGGCAGCTGGGCCACGGGGGACAAACTTGCTACCATGAGCTCACGGAGGACCTTTGGGTCAGCTACCCCTGCAGCCACGGATGGGACCTTCTTCAATTCCTGGCCAGACATGAGGGCAAAGCGGACAGACGACAGGACTTCTCTGGCGAGATCCTCTTGGCCATTTCCATTGGCCATAAGCCACCGCGATGCTGCTTCCAAGGCCTCCAGTTCGTGGAGGACATTGAGCTCGTCAGAGCGGAGGAGGCGGATGAGAAGATGTGAAGGAAGATCCAGGAAGGCCGGAGTGGCCACCACACTGGGGAAGGTGGCCAAGATGTAGTCCTCTGCTACACGGCCCACCTGGGCCAGATCGTAAGCCACAGCAAAGGCCAGAACGTCCAGGCCAGTTTCTGGCGTCAGGCCATGGGTGAAAACATCCAGGCAGAGGGTGAGGAGCCCCCAGGCCTGGTAGCGCAGGGAGGTCTCGGCTGCCTCCAGGACCACAGGCCACGGTCCCGCCACAGCCCCTGTGTAGGCGAAGGAGAGGAGGAGGCGCAGCTCGGCTGGGGACAGTCCCGTGGCCAGCGGGGTGGCAGGGTCGTGAGTGGCCTCCCGCATGGGGCAAGTGAAGAGGGCTCGGAAGAAGTCACAGGAGGAGCTCAGGGCCAGGCGCTGAACTAGGGGGAAGAAGGAAGAATGGTGGGGGGCAACAGGGAACCCTGTGCACCATGCAGCCCCCTGGGAACCCAGGTGCCCTGGCCCGCCCCCACCAAACCCCCAGCTCTCCCGAGGGGACCAACCCTCCGGGAACCCCTAACGCCTCATCCCCTCCCGGACCCTCAGCCCCCAGCATCCCTGTCCGGGGACCTGGCTGTCCCAGAGCGCCCCGTCGGCCTCCTCAGCCCCCCCTGGGGGACCCCCACCCCCGGCTCACCTGGGATGACCTCTTCCCCTGCCCGGAGCTGGAGGTCGCAGCCCAGGCCGCTGCCATGGAGCTGTTCCATGGCCCTCAGCGTCTCCCACTGCTCCTCCAGGGGCTTGGGACCCGCCTCACTCTCCAGCCTCGGGGCACAGGCGGCTACCATCCGGGGGGCCCCCAGGGCCCGGGCGGCCTCCAGCACCTCCTTCTCTGAGCCCTGAGGCACAGTTCCCCCATAGGCAAAGGCAAGCAGAGCCCGCCAGCCCCGCAGCGTGGCCCCGGGTGGCAGGGGGACGTGGGGCGGGGGTCCCTGGCGCAGCTCTCTGCTCCTGCTCTCCAGGAAGCGAAGGAAGAAGGAGCTGATGGAAGCCAGGACCACGGCATGGGCCACGTCGCCCTCTGGGCCCACAGACACGTCCACCAGCTGTCCAGAGGTGCGGAGGCGCTCGGCCGTGGCCAAGAAGCGTTCGGCGTGGGCCTCATCCCGCAGGCTCCACTGGGCTGGGGCCGGCCCCTCCGCAACCCACATCTCGCCTGTGGGAACACACGGAGAGAATCACACACGGTCACAGAATCACAGAACCAATTAGTTTGGAAAACCTCCAGCCCCACCATGACCCCCACCCTGACC